CTAAGCATGCCTGTTTTGTAAAAATTGTTTGGTTAAACTTCCTCGAAAGACCTGGCCAAACTGTCACTTCGCTTTTTTCTTGATTCAGGTGAATATCTATTGATCCTCGGGGTTCTGTTTGTTGATATTTCCGGGTCCTCTTTAGTTCTGCAGTACTTCAGAAGGTCAAGTTCGAATCTAAGTCCCATCTGATAGGCAAATTGGGTATTTCATAAGGGAAATCAGTTTGCAAAGCAATTTTCACGCCTACTCAGACAGAGCCTTTCAAGAACAATTGAACTGCCACGCACTATTTTCCTGGGAGTCAGTAGAAGGTGCATTTATGCTAACATTAAGTGGCAAGGCTAGGGATAGGTCCAGAGTTTGTGGTAGGTTTAGGCTTAGCGTTAGGCTCATAATTACGCTAAGGATTAGGTTTACTTTTGAGGTTGCGGTAAGGTTTACCGTTAGGTTTGGGGCATTGCTGCCCCGCATGTCCTCTTCGCCAGGTCCTTCGCGGGGATTCTAGGCTTTCTCCAATCTCGCGACAGATTTGTAATACACCAGGTTGTATTGTCCGTTTCAGCCTCGGCTACTTTCCCCATTAACGATTTCAACATCTAATCCGGCTTACTTTACTTTCAATGCCCAAACCGCGCTTACACTTGGGGCCAGGACAGCGTAACTGACCCTTGCCTAGTAAAATCTACAAAGGGATAACACAGTCGAGAACCTCGACAATTTCTCACTTAGGTCGAGACAACTGCATGAGTTAAGAAGAACCGGAACGGTCTGTTTATTGTTCTGGGCATTCGAACTCGTGCAGGAGTTCGTCTGGCGCCGGCGTACAAAAACCTGCACAGTCACCTCCAGTCTTGCGCCGTCGGTTGATGATTGGCTAACATGACCCCTAATTGTCGCTTGTCCTGTTGTTGCTACTATTTCTGACAATGGACTCCTGCAGGAGTTCAAATGCTCAGACTAATGAACAGACTGTTCCAGATTTCAACCAGCCTTCCTCTTTTCTTTTTCTTCTTTTTCTACTTCGCCTATACGCCTGGGACTCAAACATTTGCCTCCATTCGTGACAAATAGGTAAAAAAACCTTACGAGAATTGTGATTGACAAATTATTGTTTGCAAAAATGACACCGGTTAAAAACGAGATAATTAACCGCAAAGATAAATCGACTTTACTTACTCATTCTTCAGGAGGGTGATATCTACCGTAGCCCAAGGCAGGATCCGAGGTTCAAATGGACCATGCAATAGGGTGCTAGATTTTCTTCAGTTTCATTTAAGCAAAAAAATAAATTTGCTGAAGCCACTCTGTTTCGTTTACTTAACTGTAGGCTTTTTTTTACGGATATGATTAGTCTCTGGGTTCGGGTCTCCTGATTAAATGCTCATCATAGGAGAAGCAATAAATATAGCATCGGGACGCGTCTGATGAAACACTAAAGCAAAAGTTCGGCCTGGAGTTTCGTTGGGTTTTTATTTGGAATACAACTCCGTTTACTCCTTACGACTTATGAGTGTAAAAAGTACTTTTTCACATAAACAAACTATCTGTCTTTAAGTAACAACCTTCTCGTAACATCAAATTTGCTTATTTCCGCAATAATGCCCGGCACCAGACTTTGTGGTTAAATGAACCACTTTGTTAAGATCTTAAATGCATGCTGAGTTCATTCGGTATGTCTAAGCTGCCGGGTCCTCAAACGCGCACGGGCCGTGTTCCAGTGTATTGAGGTCAAACAACATCATTGGCTTGCAACACATGTAAATACGTAGCGTGCATGAGCGCGGTTCAGACAAGGCGATGCATCAAGCTGTTGTCAAGTTAATTATTTTGCTAGCATATCGTAAGCGCACTAACCCCGATGAGATATCAAAATTTACACTTTCCTTTAACTTTCTAACGCTCCCATGTTAAATTTATCTAATCCTAATGCTTAGCTTTCTGCCAGTGGCAAAATCACACATACCACTGAAGCTGGGATAATCCTCCGAAGTAACTAAATCACTGTTCCGAATGCAGTAACTGAAAATGTCTTTCTTAACATGAATTAATCGTCTTAATTCGACAGCTGAAACATTAAGATGTGGTTTTTACACACATGTCTTCCGCATACCTCCGAGACAGATCATAGTTTCAGCCTAGGTGCGAAATTTGACGGATTTTTTCTAAACTCATGAAACAACAGTGTTGCAATCAGTTTATCAGTGGGTCTCTATATTTCACCGTGTGTTTTCTTCTAATTTTCTAGTTTTAAAAGCAAGGCCTGTTTGAAATATATCTGACAAATGTGGCGTTTTAGGTTTTGTAGAGTTTTATGCAAGTATTTCAACCTTGCGGCAAGTTTCGGATGATGCATATATTATTATTAATGCGAGTTTGCCCTGCAATTATCCTATTTATATGCAATTACGAAATCGAGCTCCCGTCCTGAGCCGCACGTCACGAAAGCGGAAATAGAATCTATTTGGTTGCGTTTTTTCAGTTTTCGAAGGGGCACTTGGAGAGGGCTACGTTCTCGAACCAACAGACACTCGAATTTATGATCAAGAGAGCGGTTGTATAGACCTCACTACAGTCGTGCCAACAAATTTCACAGTAAGCCTAAATCACACTTCTTGAAATGCCTTTGATTTGCTTATCAACGCTTGCTTATGTGTAGTACTTAGCATGTATGGGTGGATCCCGATATCGTATAGGACACAGAATCCGCGGCTTGCATCACTAGGTAATTAAGAATTCGGTGGGATGTTGGGTCGTAAAGGTCTGAATGCCTTATTAGAAGATTGTGTGAGATTTTCCTTAAGCAAATATTCGCGCTATTCAGAAACGCGTTTTTAAATGCTGATATGCCAAATACGTCGGTTTTTTGGTAATTGACATCGCACTACTTCTCATATTGCAGTATAAGTATCTGAAGCCGGTAGTTCGAGGCAATCATTAGTTTTACTAGTGATTACATTGGTAGTATGAAGTTATTTGCACTTCCCTGCTTGAGATTTTTTGCTGTCAATGTTTATGGCAGGAGGTTTTCCAGGTAACTGAGTGGAGCGATTGATCAAAATCTCGAATTCAAGATAGTAGGGGGAAAAGGTTAAGGCATTTCATTAAAGTTAAACTCTTTTCTAAATTGGATATTCTTAGGAGGGTTCTACCTGCCCATAAAATTAAACTAATCTGTATGCATTTACCGTCAAATTTTTCAGCGTGTTCGTCTAGACAAGACAGATTTCGAATGCGAAGGGGATGTCTGCTCAAACTATGTTAACCGGAATGAACGAGCCCAAATGCGGGTTACCCGAGGTGAGGGAGAAAATTTGAAATATGTGAATCCCAGAACTTATCTACGATTAAAGAGAACGCGTAAATAAAACTCACTTAGATAAAGCTATGTAGGTCTACTTGATCTGGGCATTTACTAAGTTGACTTCAACCAAACAGTCGTCCACAATTGCAATTCTTAATAAAGATATTTGCTGTGTGTACCTTTTGCTCTCGACTCCGCATTATAAACCTGCCAGTAGGTCAGCCAAAATTAAGATGCCGTTTTTTGAATTTACATCAGCATTCATTCGACCGATTTGTAACCAGCGAGTACGCATTGAGAGACTGGGGATTTTAGTTGTTTTGAGTCAAATGCGTTAACATATGCAGTACCTTTCTAATATTCATGGGAAGTTTTACAGGAAATGCATTTTTCTTGAGATCCGGAACCCCTTGGTGATGCGGTGAAGGTCACGGTTCGTCTGTGCGACCTTGAGCGTCATGCCTGGCTCGGATTCGACATCTCTTCTATGCTGTCTCAAAACAGGGTCGGTTTCCATACCGTCTTCTTCTCACAGGCTGGTTCGTGGTCTGTGATCGAGAGGACATGTAAGTTCGTCCGCAGCATGAAATCGAATCCTAACCCAATCCGAGTTCTCTAAAACCTTCATCTGCCTTGTGTGGAGAAAAGGTTAAGACAGGAGCAGTTTGCTTTTAAGTTAACTGAATTTTGCACCCCTTAGGCGACGTATTCTTTTCAGAAGTGCGCATCAAAATATAGTGCGTGACCTATCTCATGAAATGCTGGCTGAAATTCTGAAATGCGTTTTCGATTAGGTAGGATTAGGTAGGTTTTGGACTCGGCAGGATGTCGGCTTCTAAATGCACTTTTTTCACTCTCCTGTAGAAAGCGTTTCTCGGAAAAAAATGACTACTTAAGTAGCATGCATTTTCCCATTGATTTTCGATGGTCTTGGAAATTCAAATACATTTTATAGAAACCACAAAAAATATGCTTTATTTTAGTCAATCAGTAGAGAATCACGTCTTCTTTATATTTTATAGTTCAGGAAGGAGTATAATTAGGTTTTAAAAAAGTTTTCTAATTTCCGAAAAATTTGGAGCCTGATCATTCGTTGCATTAGCGCTTAGTGATTACACTCTACGAGGTGCATGCGTTCCGCGTAAAGAAAATCCCATCTTTTTCTATGTCATTAAAGAGATATCACACAGGGTCCATAAAATTTTGCAATGGATGCGGACCATGTTGTACATTTCATGAGGAGCAGTGGTAAACGGTCGGGTACGATGCTATGTGAATGGACATATCGCGGTCTTAACAATTCTCATAATTGGAAACATTTTAAAACCCAATTATACTCCTTCCTTAAGTATGAGATATAAAGAAGAAGAGATTCTGTATTGATTGACTAAAAGAAAGCACATTTTTGTTTGTGGTTTTTATAAGATATATTCGAATTTTCAAAACCATCGAAAATCAATGGGAAAAATGCATGTTACTTAAGTAGTCATTTTTTACCGAGAAACGCTTCCTACGGGAGAGTGAAAAAAGTGCATTTTAAAGCCGACATCCTGCCGAGTCTAAAATGTTATAAGAGTATGCCTTTAGATAATCAGTATCACAACCGCGACCAAGTAATCCTTCCTAATCGAAAACGCATTTCAGAATTTCAGCCAACATTTCATGAGATAGGTCACGCACTGTACGCTGTTCTCTTATGATGCATGTCAATGCTCCCGTTTGTTCGATTTCAGACTGCATTCAAGTGCACAAGAGTACTGCAGTCAATGTCCTTGCTAATGCCAAGAATGAGGTTGAATTATCCTGCGTTGTAAAGCGGTCCTGCGAAAACCTTTCAGTAAGTTTTACCTCCCAGCTTCGGGCACTTCAGCCCACAATCATATGCGCGTAATAGCGAATCAGCGTGGAGGTTATTTGCTCAGGTGGATATTGCATTTCAATCTTAATGCTGTTCTAGCGGCCGCATTGCGAGCCTTCAGTAGAATTCCTGCAGTTGTGTAGACTGACAATGATTAACAAACAGCACAAAATTCATAGCCGGTAAACTATTTTCTGCAAATCCCTGTTGTGCTCGGTTTAACAACGTGGAAGTTCTCATTTGCATGACAATCCATTTAGACTGCACGGTAAGATGTGGCTATGTAGCCGTACCTGGTGGATACAGTACTGTTGGCCAACTTAATTATTGGGAGTTGGTGTAGTTACGTTGACACGGTGTTGCTGTGTTCTGTTGGCGGTCTTGTTTCTTTGTTTTGCTGTCCACCTTTTTCGGCCCAATGCCGGTGGTCCTTCTTGTCTTCCGGCCTGTCGTCTCCCTCCAACTTTGGCGTTAGATGTTTCAGGGTTAGGGTTAGGGAGCTAGGGCTTAGGGTCAGGGTTAAGGTTAGGGTAAGGGATTAGCGTTAGGGGGCTAGGGATAGGGGTTGTAGTTGAGGGTTGGGATTAGAGTCAGGGGTTGAGACTACTATCTCTCATCCACCCAAGGTGCAACTGCGCATTCCCAATAGCTTTTCTTTTGCATGCAACTACTTGACCTCGTCACCTGTGCGTTCCCCAACCCCAACTGTAAAAACATCTGTTACCACCGGTACCGTATTACAGGTGGCCGGGGTTTGATTACCTCAGGTGTGGCTACATAACCACATCTCACCGACTGCACCTATAACTTAACGTCCTCTTGAGGACGGCAGTCGTACCTTCTTTAAAGTTTTTATGGTAGTTGATTCTAGTCTTAAATTTAAAAGAATATCAGTGACTATAACGTAAAAAATAGTTAACAGGGACTGTTACCAATTATAATCAGCCGGTAGGACTTACTTATACGGCCCTCTAAACAGGGCATGGGCGCAGGAAGCGCCTGCAATAGGGGTGGCTTTGAGCCAACTTCCAGTGAAAGTAGGGTTAGTTTGGGGATTGATTTTAAGTCTAGATTTAAATTTAACGGTAAATTCAGTTATGATCAAGTTCTTGGATTAAGGTGGGACTGATGTTTACTGCGGGGTTAAGGTTTAGAGCAGGGGTAGGGTCAAGACTCGGGCAATGACTAAGTTTTATTTTAAGGCTATTTTGGCCTCAGATGACGGGAATATATTTTCCTTTCCGAAATTATGGGCTGGTCCATCTTTATTACTTTTATGGGGTATACCTATTCCTATGTCCTGTTTGGGGGGCCATAAACATACTTAAGCAGCCAAATGAACAACTTAGTCGGTAATGAGGGCGGTGGGACTAACGAGTGATGCCGAATAATGTTGATTTGCCGCAGATTCAGTAACATGACATATGTAAATGGGATTATGACACTCATGGTTTTATTCCTTTTAACAGACGACTCTCTACTCAACAGAACGTGAGCTCTGTCGTGGTTATGGACAGGCAACTTGTCGTAAGCTAACAGACAGAATCACTTCTATGCTGCATCAGTTAAATCTTTTTGTAAACAACATTATATACAAGTAGAAGACAGATTTATTCCATATTGTGTTCGTTGGCTCTAAGAATAGGTAGAAATGGAACTCCAACCTTCTTGAAAGTCAAAATAAGTTCTTATTTAGGATGTAACGTCAATATTGGTGGTTTGTCTCTTTATAGGAGTCGAAAAACTCGACGATGGCTCAGTTGATTATAGAACTACTCTGCGCAAACCCGAGACTGGCCGGTACAGTTTCGCATTTTGTCAGACCACCGGAGACTTCCTCGAGTACATCATCGACTGGGAAGGTTAGCCCTCCAATGAACACTTGAAGCCAAGTCCCGAAATTGCATATGTTTTCGTGCAAAGAACTGTCATAATATTATTTTAAGGTGATTAGGTAATGTACTGAAATAAAATCTTCACATAAACCTATGTACAGTCTTTTATTTACGTTTGGGTAATAAATGGAGAGAGCCAAACTTCATGCGGTCTAAGTTAAAGAAATAAACATGAGTGTCTTGGTTACCATGTTAGCAAGTTCTGACACGTCTTAAAAATTAGCAAGTATTTCCCAACACAGCCTAGTTATGGCGTTTTGAAGTCGGAATAAGTGCACTTGCCCCTCATGCGCCATACTGCTTTTCTACTTCAAGAAGCGACCAACTAAGATACTGTGGGACCCAAATGAAGGCAGAGACCAGTCTTGCGGATTATGATCTAGTAAACGAACTTAATTTTTTTAATCGGTATTTTCCTGACCCACGTGATTTTAAACCCGGATGACTTGGTCAAAGATTGTTTAACGCATCAGAGCCAAGTGCCGCCGAAAAGTGATATCCCTACAGGCGTAAGATTTTTGGGACAAATCAGAAAATTAGAACTGTTCAACCCGAAATAAGAGTTTTTCCATATCGACTGATGCGTATGATACAAATACGCATATTGTGGTTAAGTGGTCTGACTTGAAGCAGACGTCTGGCATGTAGGAGAACTCAGAAGAAAAGAACGGCTTGACCAATACGACGGTCCAGCAGTCCTAAATTAGTGGTCGACAACGCAGAGCACGACACACAGGCAATTAAGTAGCGTACTTCGGGTCGCTTCTAAGGCATGGAAGCATTAAAGAGTTGATAAGCACCACGCCTAACATACGTATACAGATATCGTAAGAAAAAGTAGTATGCGTGTATAAAATCTCCACTAGCGATAATCAACTAGCAAAAACGCAAAAAGAGTACACTGACACAAGAGAGGAAGTGTGCTACACACACAACTGATCCATCTGGAGTTGAGGGCATCCCGTCATGTCTGCTAGACCACCGGTGGGGAGTAAAGCGATGTGGGCAACTGAAGACAGAGAAAGGTCGTGGAATTTGCTGACATGGAAGGAGGGAGTACGAGAAAGGCTGTGCGAGCGACGATTGCGGGAGAGAGTGCCGGCGGTTGTGAGGGGAAGCGCACTGGCATTTTCACCGCTCCACGACCACATCAACCGCATCCTGTGTCCTCGCTTAAAGCAACTTCAGTCAGTTCAAACAACTCAATCAGGTTCGAAGTGCGTTAAAATGTAATTGCTGGTGAACGTTGCTTTGCAAAACTAAATATTCAACCCGTCGGCTGGGGAACAAATCCAAACGCTTTTTAAGCAAGGGCGATAAAATCAGAAGCCGCTCGCCCTATGTGAGAGCTAGTATGCAGCTTAGCAGCTGGGCTTCGTGGGCACTCCTGCAAGACCGTATCTTACAAATCAAATGAGGTAGTGTCCTCGACGAACTCCTTCTGCGGATGACTTTCGAGTGCTCATATCCTGGTAACGACCTCCTTGTTCTAAAAGTTGGCAGTCCAAATGAATCCCGATGTTATTATAACCAGGTCCGCTCATTGTTCTTATGAGAAGACCTTGTCCATAAAAATTGTTATCATCGAATTCGATAGAGCTAAGCAGGGGATTTAACTAGATTGACTCAAAACGTAACTGGTTAACTTGAAGTATCCAAAGACCCCTCCGCGGAACGCCACCATCCACAAACGGTCGCAGTGCTTGCACCAAAATTGTGCGTTCTCGACTCCCGGAAAACTGGGCAACGGTGGCGTACGTGGTGTCTCAAAAATGTATATGCAATTGAATGGTTGATAGCTTGCTTGGCGTCTCGCTTCGACAATAGAAAAATATGATAAATTATAATAGTCCCAGTAATCTGTTAGCGAAAAAAATGCATTCTGAAAACCTACTGAAAGTTTGAACACTGAGGACAGGCACGAAAACAGTATAGCGGTAAGTTTAAACAAAGTTACCCACGCGACTTACAACTGAGCTAATTATAAGTATAATTGCATTTGGCAGAACTATTCATTAATAAACGTTATTGGCGTTGCGTACGCCATAGACATCTACAAGTCCCATAAACCAAGAAAAGTGGCACGAAAAACGTATCACTTAAGTCCATGAGCATCCGTGTGGAAAGCTAGTGGTGACGTTATAATTTCCAAACTGTCAGTCCGCAGTTTTTTGAAGAACTGCCATTGGAAAAGTTGCATTCTACTGCATCAATGAAGACGACGACGATCTAGATTGTGAGATGACGAGAATACATTTTAATTAGATGGTGTTATTAACTATTTCTGTTGCACTTCTTGGGGGCTTTGCAATCCCTGCATTACGAAGAACGTCATGTCACTTTGCTGGGACTTACAGTATGGTGTGGCCTATTAACCGGAGGACTAATTGAAACACTCTTTACTGATGTTCTTGTTACTATTCCCATTTATTTTGACTTTCTGTGACAGTCTATCGGACCAAGGATAAGAAAGGACTTTGAAGAGGGGTAGTTTCATTTTTATGCAACCTTTGTGAAGCCAGATCTTATCTGGATGAGATTTTGGCAGTCAGAAGGGCCTAATGTTGGGAATTGCATTGAAAGGTTGCGGGCGGAGTCCTAGGTGATCCTACTAATGAGCAATTAATTTGGGCGTTTTGCGGTCAGCACAAAGTCGTGAATGCCGGGGTTTGTGTTCGAATCAATGTACATAATTTTGGAAAAAGATTGCTGTTGTTCACTGCTAATGACTGCGAAAGAGGGTAAAGCTCAAAGTATTGACAAGGCTGGCTGTAAGTAGTCGGGTGGCAGATGGCGAGTTTTGTCAAAAATTTTGTAATCCAACTTTCTTTTCAAATCCAATTTAATTTCGGTCGACACCATTTCGCTTGGTAGAGTTCCGGGATAGGACTACTCATTGGATGAAGAAAACTCCTCTGAGGTCCAGTCGTGTGCGCCCGGCTCTGGGTTTGCATGGTTGACCGCATGGGTGGTTTGTAGGCGCACACTCAAAGAAGTCATCCGCTTCCGGCGAGCAATCACGGATAAGAATAATCCGCAATGTCCTGGCACCTTTAGTGCCTATAAGACAGCTCTTTTAGTCTACCATGGTACGATATAGCCTTAAGCCTGTCGACGGTCTTCATTTCTCTACGATACACCTACTCGACGAGATAAATATCTTTTTTTCATTCACAATGTTCAGAAGTGCATTTTATATTGGATCTCACGAGGGCCTCAACGACTTTTTCAAAGAGTTCGGAAGAAAATATTTTGGATGATTGTTTAACCCAGTGCAAGGGTGTAGTTGGCGCCTGGGGCAATTGGCAGCAGCAGATTTGCGTTTGCTCACATGCTCAGCTCCTTGTGCGTTGTTACACCTTCTAATGCGGTCCAATTAATAAAAGACTATTTTTCATTGGAGATAACCTCCTAGTTCACCAGGTCTGAAAATTCTATACTTTTGATGGCGGTCGAACCCCTCGCAGCTGCGCAATGCCACTGCAGAATATCGGCGAAACACACGTGTATTAGACTTTTGTCTAGTACTTGTACTGTTAATATGGTATCACCTTACCCTGACGTATACTACTAGCAGCCTGTCGGCAGTTAAGGGATATTACGCGGTTACTCACTGCACAAAATTGTCTGTCTGAGCCTACAGACGTTAAATAAACTGATCTTCTCGAAGTTTTTATATAATTTCTGAGGAAATTAAAAAGCGACAGGATTCGTATCTGTTTGTCCTAGTGATTTAAGCGAGTCCGGGTGTCCGGGGTATGTGGCATGTCTTGTCTGTCTCACATTTCCCGGGGTTCTGATTGCCAGTAACCTGTCAGGCCGTTCCGTGGTGCTCCCTCTCACTCCACTCTCAGTTAAGAGACGGACTTCCTCAACGCGGATTGCGTACTCACAAGGATCCTCGAGGAGGACTCCAAAATACTCAAAACGTCGCAGGTTCCCGGATCAGTACACTTGCATATTGGCACGTCGAACCTCGTCGTTTACTTAGAAAACAATGTTTGTCAAAAGTAAGTCTGAATAAAACCAAAAGCGAATAATGTCCACCTAAGCAGCAGTGTGCATCTCGCCCTACTTTAGAACTCGTGATTTGTCGAATGCGTCTTTACACAAAACAAGTTACCTTGAAATCTCCCAATTTTTCTTTTTTCTTGCAAACTTTCTAATCTCACCTTCAGTCTTAGGAGTGACTGACTATTGCGGTAAGCGAAACCCGGGGATACGTAGCTCTTTCTGAAGGGCGGAATATGTGGACATTCATGAATTTAATTTACTGCGCCTAGACCATCATAAATGCTCGAATCTTTAACTTAGGCAGATCAGCTCTAACGGGGAAGTTGTGAATAGTGGAAAGTTGGCTCGAGCATCGTGGCTGCCCATTTACTTTGTGAGAGGAAGTCATTAGCAAGATTTGTCAAATGGACACCAATCTCGCAGGAACCAGTCAAAGCAGTGTGAATGCTATCAACCAAACAGCTCTGGTCGTCGACTCAGTTTCAGTCAGAATCCGCAAATTCGGAAACTCTCTTTCATGGACAAACTTCTCTTGCTTTTCCGGACAAGAAGCTGCAGGGGCACTTACTGTAAGATTTGGAGGTGCGGATGTAATTCATCCGTGCGGGCTCAAATAAAGCAGACAGATCTACGCAAATCACGGAGGCAATTCATCCCCCCGTCATTGGGGGCAACATTTTTGCTAAACTTCTTTTCGTCCGCAGAAATCTACAGCTAGAACGAGGGCTTCCCTCAGAAAGTCGACACAACCCCAAGAAGAGGGTGATTTAATCGATCCGACCTCCACAACGTTACAACAGTGAAGGAAATACAAGGAAATAAAGCCAAACCTCTAGGCAGAAGGCATAAAAACCCTTGATACCACGAGACTGCGTGGTCTGACGTTCTCTGCAATGCTTTTGAACAGTCATCGGAAGGTCAAGAATCGATTTTATCTGACAAAATGACATAAAATTAT